GAGCCCCCGCGGGCGGTGGCGGTAACGACACTCACGGGCTGCGGGAGCGGGGCCTGCCAGCCTCACATCCCGGGACAACACCCGCTCCTGCCTCTGGGCCCACGAGCGAGTCCAACGGGAGTGTCTCCGGGAGAGAGGGCCTGGTTTTCTCCGTGCTAAAAGCACCATTTGATGAGCACTAGCTTAAATGGTCCTGGTCGTTCTTAACCACATTTTAAAATGTCTTTCTTTTCCTAGATATAAGGAAAAGCTTCTCCCCCATAAGGACAGTTGAGCAGTAGAACAGGTAACGCAGAGAGGCTGGGTGGGCTCTGTCCATGGAGGTTTTAAAGACCTGACTGGACAGAGCAGCCTGGTCTTAGAGCAGACCCTGCTTTGAACTCTTGAGGTCCTTTCCAACCTGGATTATGCCGGGATACTCTGTATCTTTTGTAATCCTTACCTCATTTCCACTATTGATGCAAAGCAGGGATTATTTTTTTGTCTGTAAGTGCAGAAGTGTGAATGCTTACTCTACTGTACGTCAATCTACTAAACTGCTACCTGACATCACTTCAGATTTTTCCACAGACCTGTCTGCACTGCTCTCTTCCAGGTAGATAGCTACTCTTCTTGTTAGTTCAATCTAGGCATTCAGGGGTCTCATTTAATTCTCTGCAGCCTGCTAGGATTGCTGTAATGAGAATGGTAGTGACCAGCACACAGTAGCAGTCATACTTGTGCCCTCTTTAGTGAAAGATTTTGTGAAAAATACAACATTAAGAGGTTGGATTTGCTGATATTCAAAAAGTGAGATTTGAGTCTCAAAACACACAATAAAAAATTCAAATGAGGGATGAATCAGCCAGTTGATCCTTATATCTATTTTCTATAGAAGATATACATAGAAGTCTCATTAAATAATGAGACTTATAGCATCCCTTTACTCTGTACAGACAGGTCCTTCCTGGGAAGAAGGATCACAGGTAACTTCCAGATAGACACTAGTTCACTTCCTTATTGCTTTTATGACACTTGGTGGTAAGAGGGTTCTGCTGGCAGTGAGAGCAAACATCTCATCTGAGCTGGCAGCTGTTTTTCTTAATCTCTCAAATGGTTTACAATCCCCACAGCAATCTAAGCATGTAAGAAGTCCCAGTGGGGTCCTGCACATTAGAACATGCATTAGATCCCACGTGGGCTTCAACAGAACTCTGAATTCTTGAAGCAAGTTCCATACCCTGGCAATGTGATACTGTCACCTATGGACTTGGAAATACACCAAATCATAATTCTACATCATCTTCTCAGTTTCTATAGAACACCATGACATTAAAATTCATTCATTTTATTTTGCATGTTGCATTTGGCTTGGTGCTGTACAAGGGCTCCTGAATACACCAGTCAAATGTGCTTTAGGAAGTAAAGTTTTCATTCCCCTTACAGTATTCTGTTTCTGATGATCACACAACAGAGAAAAAATTGGATATGATATTTTCAGAAAGCTTAAAGCTTCTTTTATCATTCCTCTGTCAGATCTTGGAAGGACACATTTTTTTAAAAATCAGAATTTTTTAAAAGCTCTGTAAGAATAAAAATTACTGTATTTTAAGTGACTGCATTACTCACAAGGCAGTTTTGTCTAGCAGCAGGATTACACATTGAAGTTACTTTTCCAGTTTGGAAGTATCATCTGACATCCCAAACAATTCTAACAGTATTTCATTTTGCTGGCAGTTACCAGCTAAGCTGAAGCATTAATGAGGAAAGCCCAGATCCTTCAGTGACTGTCTTACTCTGACTGGACCCACCAAATGCAGTAGAACTACTCAGAGTGGTTGGACACAGGCCCTCTCCCTGTGGAGGAGAGGCTTTAGGTTGCAGTCTCTGTGAAAGTCCCTTTTTCAGGGCATGGAAAGGTCAGCACACAAAAGATCTGTGACTTACCTACACTTCCAGTGCTTTCAGGGCTGTTGGGAAAAGTCACTTGTCCTGTGGTGGGGCTTGCTGAACTTCTTGTGTCACAAATCATCCTTGGGGTTATGACACAAACAACTTCATTAGGCAATTGGATTTTGCCTCAGAGATTTGAAACAGCACTAAACAAGTTACCAATAAACAGCTTCTGTTAGTAACATAAGCTTGCATATAGGAAATTATGTCTTATTCTGTTAGTTTACGATGTAGGAACATAACAAGAGTCCAACTTTTAGAAGCTGAAAAAAGTCAACCTAAAAGCAAAGGTACACTTTCCTGAGATAAAGGATTTTACCTCTAGAAAATATTTAACCTTACGTGCCAACCAGAGAGAGGATCCATCACTCAAACCATGTACTTTCCATGAAAGATGGACTATAAGGAAGATTCTGGGGGGCCTTGTATAGCTGTGCCTGCAGCGGGTTTCTTGGTCTGTTATGAAGGAGACCAGACTGCATGATCATAACAGTATTTTCTCTCCCTAAAAAACCCCCCAACCAACCAAAAATAATTTAACCTAATGCTCACGTAGGTACTTTTTGAAGCATGCTGTACTTGGGGAGAGGCAAAAGCAACTGTCAAATGCACAAGTTGTACTTTGTGTCTCATTTGAACAGTTTCAAGCACATTGCCAGCAGCAGCCATGTGTGTGAGCATTTTGCAGGTCAGCAGTTCTCCCTTTCACACTCTGTGCTTCCAACAAGTTGTAAAGATACACTTGTTCATATCTCTGTTTGACTACTGTAGCTCTTTTGGCCACTGCAGAGCAGGTGACAGTGCACATGCTGTTGGTGATACTTGGCACTCAGCTTGAGCAAAGGTGAGGTGTAGCCACAACGACCCCATGGTTGCTGTGTGGACTCCAGCACAGCCACACACCTATTCCCCAGGACTCTATGCCTGCTGGGACTGACTGGCAATAACAGAAGTGACCTGGAGGCAGAAATAAGGCATCAGTGCAAAGGGCTGCTGTAGCAGGGGAGGTGCTGGAATCATAGAATTTAAGGGTTGGAATAGACTTTACAGATCATCTAGTCCCAACCCCCTGCCCTGGGCAGGGACACCTCCTTACCAGATCAGGTTGCTCGAGGCTTCATCCAGCCTGGCCTTGAACACTGACAGGGTTGGGGCAGCCACCACGTCCCTGGGCAACCTGTGCCCGTGTCTCACCACCCTCACAGGGAAAAACTTTTTCCTCACATCCAACCTAGACTTTCCCTCCTTTAGTTTGTTCCCATTACCCCTGGTCCTGTCACTACAGTTCCTAATAATCCCTTGTGGGCCCTTCAGGTCTTGAAAAGTTCTCTGAGGTCTCTACACAGTTGTCTCCAGGCTGAACAGCCCCAACTCCCTCAGCCTGTCTTCATAGGGGAGATGCTCCAGTCCTCTTAGCAACTTTGTGGCCTCCTTTGGACTTGCTCCAACAATTCCATGTCCTTCTTATGTTGAGGACACCAGAACTGCACACAGTATTCCAGGTAGGTCTCACAAGAGCAGAGTAGAGGGGAAGAATTGCCTTCTCTGACCTGCTGCCCACACTCCTTTGGATGCAGCCCAGGTTTCCATTGGCTTTCTGGCCTGAGCTCACACTGCAGCTCATGGGGAGCTTCTCATCCACTGTCACTCCCAAGTCTTTCTCCTCACTGCTGGTTTCAGTTACTTCCCCAAAGCAGGCAAGCAAAGGCCTGGAACTGTTACAAGTGTTCTTACTTTCTCCCCCAAAATACCTGTGTGCTTATTCAGAACTCAATTAACAGACTCAGCTAGTGAAAAACACAAAGGTTTCTGTCACTTTCCCCTCCCTCGATTGTAGGAAGAATTATATCAAAATGAAGTTAGGCTATGAACTGCTGCTGAAGCAGCACTGGGTGGGGGACTTGTCTCTGACACATGAAGGAACAGCTCACACTGCAAACAGTGCATGAGTTCAAGCAAGTACATTCAGAAGAGTGAAGGAAGACATTTAAGCTGCCTTTTTCATTAATTTAGTGGGGTTTCTGTCAAGTGAAATGACATGAATCATTTTTCTAAGCGTAGTGTGAGTGATCTGCAATATGCTAATAATGTTAGCTGCAGGAAAGGGCTGACAGTTTGGTTCTTGTATGACTGCAAGCATTGGTACAGGCAGAGCAGTGCCACCACATCACATCTGCTGCATCCACACATCCCCGTGCCAGTGAGACATCCCTCAGAACATTAACCTTGCAAAAGTATTTCCCTTCCGACTTCCACAGGAAAGACTTTGTGCTAGTAACAAAAAGCACAGTTGAGAGCAATTTCTTACGGCAGCTCAGTCTAAACATCAATGACTGTGAGCATTAACTCATTCCTTCAGTATGTTATCTTAGAGCTGCTCTGTCTCCACAGGGCTGACGGCCACGATGCTGAGAGGAGTCGCTCACGGCGCAAAAGACACGTTCACTCTTCTGTTGACAAGATCTCAGCGCTGTAATCCAGGACTGAATTTTTCACCAGGATGCCCTGAAGCAGCAAACAGAAGCTTTCTAATACATTCCACTTACACAACTGACTCCAAGTCAGGAGAGGAAAACACCAAAACCATTGAGAGTCTCTACAGCTTGTCAGTTGACATTAGGAAGATTCGCGGGCTGAAGGAGTGGGTCCTGCTCCAGGATGTGGCCTATGTTAAAGAAATTGCTGGTATCCTCCGAGAAATGGGAGCAGATGAGAGCACTGTAGCCAACATTCTAGAACGTTGCCCAGAGGCAATTCTCCGCACCCCTGCAGAGGTGAACTCTCAAAGAGCTCTGTGGCAATTAGTATGCCAGAACGAAAACCAGCTGATTAAGTTAATAGAGCAATTTCCAGAGTCTTTTTTTACTACTAAATATCACCAGAACCAGAAGGCAAACATAGTGTTTTTTCAAGAGCTAGGACTTAAGAATAATATAATCACGAGATTCTTGACAAGTGCACCCAATATTTTCTATAACCCTGTTGCGAAAAACAAAGATGTAATAGAGACATTGCAAAGAAGTTATTTAAATTTAGGAGGTTCTGAAGCAAATATGAAGATCTGGATACTGAAGCTATTGAGCCAAAACCCATTTATTTTATTAAACACCTCTACCATCATTGAGGAGAACCTGGAATTTCTCCAGAAGAATTATTTCACTGACCATGAAGTTCTTCAGCTGCTGGCCAAACTTAAAGGCTTCATTTTTCAACTTAATTCTGCTGCTATGCAGGAGAGTATGCTTTTTTCCAAGAAAGTCTTTAAGTGCAGTGATCAAGAACTAAAACAGCTCGTGCTGAAATGCCCAGCCCTTCTCTACTATTCTGTGCCAGTTTTGGAAGAGAGGCTTGAAGGCCTACTGAAGGAAGGAATTTCTGTAGCACAGATCAGAGAGACACCAATGGTGCTGGAGTTGACAACACAAATTGTTCAGTACCGAATTAAAAAGCTCTCTGCATTGGGATACGATATAAGGAATGGAAATCTAGAAAGTCTGAGTGGTACTAAGAAAGATTTTGAAGTCAGTTATGGTAAGATACAAGCAAAGAAGGAGAGACCAATTTTTAATCCTGTTGCTCCTATACACATTGAAGACTAATTTGAATGCTGTACTCTTAAGTTCTGCAGAAGAAAATGAAGTGATAAGTTGGTTCTTTGACCTGAAACAAAAGGAATCTTAACCAGATTGGAGTCTCACACTGTACTTTGTCCAGGACTGGCTCTGGGGCACAATTTCATCTTCCAGTTGTAGCTTTCTAATAATTTCAAATAACACCATAGAACCTGCTTCTGGTAAAGGTTACCTTTATTTTCCTAGAGTAACTCATGGAGTTTTTTGGTTCTGTTACATTTTCTTACCTAACAACCTGTTTTGTATTTTCTGCTATGTCACTGCATGGTTGAGCCTGTGGTAGTGACTAGTTTAGTTTTTATCTGACAAAGGCAATTCTCCCAGCAGTGTTCATCAACCCACTGGTTCAGTGGCTTCAGGAGACTCTCTTGGAGTTCCATTCCTCACTGCTGCAGCAGGTGTCTCTAGCTCCTGGATCCTGACCTGCAGCAGACTTGATTTCTTGGCTAGGAAAGCTTAGCCAGAGCAGTTTGAGAACAAGGGCAGGATATTTTATTCGGTGACTGCTACACTGAAGGCCTAGTACAAACCGTAATGCAAGGAAACTACAAGACATTTACATTCCTGAGACTTCAAAATTTACTTCTTTTGCAAAAGGTTTGGGGCAGGAAGAAATACATTTATTGCTAGTTCTTTTCTAGCAAGGCTTGGGGACAGGAAAGATTAGGGAGACTCAAGTGAGTCTCAGATGGTGGTAGGAGAAAGGTAGAAGTCATGCTTTTATATTAGGTGTAACAAATCTCTGGTCTGTAAACCACTGGTGATTAAAAATGACTATGAGATTTGCAAGCAGCTGCCACAGTTTCTAAATATAAGTGTGGCACTGCTTCTCAGATAACAGCATATGGCAATTGTCAGCAAGTGCTGCCTTTGAAAATAGCAACTATCAGACAGCGTTGAAGTTTTCAGGGGATTTAATTTCTTCTCATTTATGGGCTGTGAATGGTAATATAAAACAGTAGCATCACTGACAATCATAGAATCATCAGGGTTGGAGATCTCTGAGATCTAGTCCAACCATTAACCTGCCACTGCTGTAATTTTGAAAACAGATACTTATTTAGTACGTTTTTTGCAAGTTCTGATTTTCCTTTCAAATTTACATCATTTCCAAGTGTTCCAAAGGAACCATCATCTTTCTTCATGCTGACTCTAAAACCCCAATATCTTACTACTGCCATGGAACTTAAACTACTATTAGTCCTCTACAAAGTCGAAATGAGGTAATACCATTAAACAATGATCTCTCTTCATATATTCAATCAAGATTCATTCCACAGTATACACTGAGTGTTTATAGAATCATGGAATCATCAAGGTTGAAGGAGAGGTCTAAGACCATTGAGTCCAACCATTAACCTGTCACTGCTGGAACCCCTAAACCATATCCTGCAGCATCAGATCCAGACACCTCTTAAACACTTCCAAGGATGGTCACTCCACTACTTCCCTGGGCAATATTCCAGTGCCTGAGCACCCTAAAATGCTTTTCCTAACATCGAACCTGAATCTTAATAGGATTAGGATCATCAGTGATTTTATTTTCCAAAGACTTTCCTAAACAACTATTCCATACTCATTCCTCCTTGTCAGAGGATTAAAAAAAATTACACCCTGCCCTCAACTCCAGGCCATTCTTCAAGGTCATTTTCAACACACATTTTGGCAGCAAGTCCAGGGCTCCTTTTCTTAAGGAGAAGTTTTAAATTGCTTAAGAAGGCTGGTATTAAACTGGTTTCAGAGGGTGGGCTGCAAGATGATGATTTTATAGTCTGACACATTACCTGGTGTGAGCTCGGCAAGGCTTACCAGATGTTTCCAGCAGCAGCAGATGCTCTTACCAGAGGAGAGCCAAGATCTCAACAGCTAAAAACATAAAACTTCCCACTCTGCAGGCAGGAGTGCAGAGGTGACAGCAGCTTGTGGGGGTGGATACTGCTCTTGCAGGAGCACGTGTGACCGCAAGTGAAAATTCAAGGAGGGGCAGGTAGCACCAGTACACAAGAAGTCAGGCTGTGCCGCAAAGTTGTGTCTTTGCAGACTCCTTCAAAACACTCTTGTTCTTTAAGAGGAAACTGGGAAGTTAGCCGTATTAAAAATGGACAGGAACTTGCCTTTGTCACTTTGTGACTGTCCTTCCGTGCTTAGCTATTAGGCAGACCACGAGAGGATTCGAATTCCGAAGCCTCTTCCCCTCAGACACAAGGAGCATTTCGGCTCTTCAGAGCTGCTGACAGCACAACCTGTAACTGAACCACAGACCTGACTGGTGGTTTGGGGTGAAAAGGAAACTAAGAGGTACAACAGTGCTTTGTGCTTTCCCTGAGTATTTAGGATTATATTACTGTTTTTAAAGTTCTTGAAAGAGCTTATTCCCATCACTTAAGAGTATCTCCAGTGGCAACAGAACAGGAAAATGACATACTTCCTTAACTGAGTCATAGCCAAAGTTATCATAAACTCATTTTCCATTCTGAATGTTGCAATTTTTCCTCCTCCTCCCCTTTCAAAACAGAAGCATGAGCCAAAATGCTCTTTTTCTCAACCACCAGATCAAAATTCATTCAACCTTACATTCCTAACTCTATGCCTGGGACCTGTTTCTCTCTTCTTCACAAGATTCATTTGTAATAAAACCTCAGGGAAGCTCCCAGTCACCAAAACATTGTAGTGCTGAAATCCATCATCTATGGTTGTTACAGTGAACATGCAGCAGTTTACACTTTTTAAGTCAGGCACATAGGAGCCTGTAGATAAGTCTTCATTACACAATGAGCAGTCAGGCATACAAGTTGCCTTCACAAACATTTCCCCTTTGGAAATGGGAGCTGGGGAAAGGAGAGCAAAATGAAGTCACCACAAAAACAACCCCAAGACCCAAGAACAACCTCACTCCCCCTGAAAATTTCAGTTCCATATTCCATTCAGCTCCTATGATTTTAACAGTAGGTATTCCCAAGCCTCATTCACCAGGGGAAAAGAGAATGATTGCAAAGGATATTGAGCTGTGTCTGTGCACAGCTTACACAGGGAAGTTACAGCTTTTGTTAAGAGCTGGTTGGCACGAGGCAGGTGCAGATAAAACACACTGAGGCATAATACTGTGAGAAGACTTATACCTTAGCATGCCTTACTTACTCCACAAAACTAAGGAAGCTTTCAAACATCTGAAACTGCAACAATTTAATGTTTCACTGGTGCCAGGACAGAATGAGAACAAGTTTTTAAGATGAAGCAAGTTTCAAAATTGAATGGAAAACATACAGGATATAAGACAAAGCTCTTTGAACTAAAACCAGATGCCACGTTAAGATGTTTCAGTTACAAGATGCAGAAGTAATAGGTACAGGATGTGTTAAGAACAAAACACAACGAAGTGTTGGCAGTTCTTTACACATCTAATATTGCTTATCTCAGACCACATTTATTTTGCTGTAAGCTTCATAGTTATAAAAATTAGAGAATGTCATAAAAAAAAAGAGGTATGAGCAGTTCAACATTTCTGTTTTCAGAAAAACTATTAGGAAGGGTTTGGTTGAGTGTCACTGTGCTCCAAACAGGTGACTTGTAAGAGTTCAGTACAGCACACTGGGAACATGGCTACATTGGAAACTGCAGGAAAACAACCACACAAGTATATGCTGTAGCTGGATTGCCTCCTAGATCCAGGCCAGCTCAGTTCTAGAGCTTACTGGTACCCTCAAACCATAAAAAATTCTATGCAGTTAGCTTGTGACTATAAAGAACAGTTAAAGTCTTCCATTTGCTGCATAAACTTACCTCATTGCAGCCTCACAGCAGATTGGAACTAAGCAGCTGGTGACTCTAGCAGAGGGAGGAGATGACATTTCTCGGGTGTTTGCTCTCCCCACAGCCCCAGGTCCCCATGCTTGTGAGTGTCAGACTTCCAACATACACAATTACTGGCATAAAGCTGTTCCAGAGTACAGCTGAAGTACCAAAGGCTCAGAGAGACCTGGGAACTATTGTACCATAACTTAGAGCACACTTTCAACACAAGGAGTAAGTTTTAGACAAGTGATATGTCTCTTCTATTCATTTTTAAAAGTCCTCCCACATACCCTTCCAGCACAACCACAGCCACTGAAAAAGCAAGCTTACAAGTTGCTGGTAGGAACACATGTGTTTAGAAAATATTGTATACACAACGTGAACAGATGCCTTCTTTGGGCTTCCAAAGAGGTTATTATTGGCAAAGTCAGCACACAAATAAGAGATCACTAACAGCTTCAACTTTAAGGCAACCTCAAGCTGTGTCTTTACAAGTGCATTTTGCCTTACGTGCTGTGGAGGCCCTACAGATATTCCCATCTGAGGTGTGTCAACATTTGGAGTATGTCAGTCTACAAATTGCTTGAGTGATGTTTCTTTCTCTGTTGTTTTTGTTTGGGTTTTTTGTTTGTTTTTGTTTTTAAGGCCCCATCTACCTTTTTTTGGCTTGTTTTAAATAAAAGTATTGTTATTTTAACTCAAAAACCAAAATGCAAAATATGAGAGGAAGATGTAGTGAAAATTTCCTTGTGTTTGCTTAAAGAGAGCAAGAAGCTAACCTGGAGCATCATGGAGCTGAGACAACAGCTTTGCTAGTTCTTCAGTGTTTTCCAGCTACACAAAGGAGTTTCTATTGAGTTTTTTTTCTAGTATCTATAACAAGTTTATTAGAAGCAAGTTTTCACTTGCAGGAGATAGATGCATATTACTAAATACACCTGAGATGTAGCAATCATGTTTTCAGTAAAAAACTGACAAAGTTGCAGATATCAGGATTTGTAAAGAGTCTAAAGCTCAGTCTGTGAACTGCAATGATGCGACAGGACAGTTCTGTACACAGCTTCACCTAGTAAAAAGGTACTTTTTCTAATAAGGCATTAAGTTAGTTTACTCTTTATGATCCCCTCTGCCATGTTGTCAGAGTTTTTCACCTCTTATCTCCCACTCTCATTTAC